AACCCGACACGGGGAGTGAACTCACAAACTGTGAGATCATGACCTGAGCTGAAACCCCAAGAGTCAAATGTTTAACTGACTGAGACTCCCAGGTGCCCCAAGACTTTTGCTCTTAAATGCTGTTCACAGATTCAGCTCATGCCTCCAACTGCTTAGCGATATTTACAAGAGCATGAGGACGTGTCCACAAGCCTGAATGTGCAACTCTGTCCCAACCACTGTGATTGCCAAGTGAGTAGATATAAGTTGCTTTCTCGTAACTGGCAGCATTGGGTCCCAGTGATGACCCTGATGGTGTTAGTACTTTGAGCAGTTGTTAGAAGAAATTCAACCATTTCTTTCAGAGGCAGAGTCCAAGAAGGTCTGAGTAATGGGCAACAAGGCCAACAGCTGCAAACTGTTTACGTGACAATTTGCTGGATAAATCAATTTATGCAGTTATGTGTTGTTTACTCCTTAAACCTAGAAAGAATATGGTCAACCCTGAGTTTAAGAATTCTGTGCTTACACCATGCAGTTTTCTACTGAAAAAGAAAATAATTAAACCTCTTCAGCCAATTTCCTCTCCAAAATTGCGATCCTACCAAGGAAAGGAAGAGAGGGGAGAAAGAATGTCCACACTGTATGGACATGGTAGGGAGGGGAGGTTAGGAGACAGGCTTTTCTGAATGAGTCAGATAGACTTCTCCAGGCATCAGAAAAACTCTTTACAGCCCATCAACATTTCACATTTTTATCTAATTTTTGAAAGTTTGTTTATTTTGAGAGATAGCATGAGCAGGAGAGTGACAGAGAGGGAGAGAAGCCCAAGCAAGCTCCATGCGGTCAGCTCAGAGCCCGATGTGGGGTTTGATCCCATGAACCATGAGATCATGACCTGAATTAAGATCAAGAGTCAGATGCTTAACCGACTGAGCCACCCAGGTGCCCCGCATTTCAGATTTTGAAAAGCATGTTTTGCTTCCCTAACCTGCCAGAGGCACAGCGGAGATGGAGCGAGCCACAATTAGGGTACAATCACACACTCAGGGATGCCTGACTGTGACCTCCTTTCACATCTGCTGCCTAAAGGATTGTATACTCAGAATCAAAATATGGAGGGTATTTTGGAGGGGGGAGGAGAAGACGTTGGGGGGGCGGGTCTTTCTCACCTCTGCCTCTGCTATAAGTCACCTTGGATAAATGGAATATAACCAAGAACTTTGATTTTCATGGCAAGGGCATACTCATTGTCTTAGGTTTAAGCCATGAGAAAAAGGAAGAAAATTTAAGATTTATGATGACTTCACTGTGTCCTGGAGGTAACTGGTAATGTGGCTGCACATATCCCTTGAGTCTTTTTAGCTTTCGTTTTAAAAACATTTGGACTTGAACACCTGAAACCTTTATTTTATCCTGTCCACGTCTCTGCAGAAGCCATGTTAAGATATATGAAAACTGTTAAAACCCCTGAAGATTGTTCATTGTTGTTGGTCACCAGAGCTTTGGTGAGGGAGGTCCATGGTTTGCCTGGAGGAATCCTAGTGTTGAAGAAAAGAGAGTTCTGCACTTGTATCTGGGCCTGGTCAGCCATATAACCAGTGACTGGGCCTCCATTTCCCTGTCTGTAAATTGGGCCAGTAACCATACCCGTCAAATAAGGGAGGGTCATGCGTGCAGAGCAGTGCTTGCCCACAGAAAGGCCCCTGAGAAACGCCACTTGTCTTTCTGCTTTCCTTTTATTCCAGGGAGCTCTGGAATAAAACCATCTGTTTGATGGTTTTAAAATTTCAAAAATAAGTTCTGTGATTTTGTGTGTGTGGAGAATTTTAGGTCCTGAAAAAGCACTACTTTAAGGTCTTGCTGTCTGTGTAAGGAATTCAAGTGACCTGGGAAGGTCCCTCTGGTCCCACACCTTCAGCATCGATGTTACCAGAACTTGGGCTTACAGGCCTCATTTTTTTTTTTTTTAACAGGAAATCAATGTAGAGAAAAGTGGTATTTCCTCACTTCTTGACAAGTGCCAGTGTGGGGCTGGTGTGATTTTCTAGGTTGTGCCTTTGTGTCCTGAGGTGACAAGGCTCTCTCTGGCCTTCTGCACACCCTCTGCTCCACCTTGCTGTTCTTTCCAGAGAGCATGGAATAGCAATGGCTTTGTTTCCTATGGGAGCTCCTGGCTCAATGACCATTTATTTCCCGAAGCTCTTACTTTCACAACAACCTGGGATTTTCTCCAGACTTTGTTTTGTGACTTCTAAGCACTTACGCACCGTGGGCTCATAAACGCTCAAGGCTCCTGCGCTCCGGATCTGGGACCACCTTCTTTTCCACACTTTGCCTTGCTCGCTTTTATGACCAGGCTGTTCGTGATTGGCTGACGTCATTAAAAGCACTAGACCTTAATCCACCTTTGCGTGAGAACATTTCTTGTAAATAAACCGATCCTTTGTTTTCTAGTTAAAAAAAAAATCATCTGTGCCTTGGAAAAATTAAAATGCGATTATTGGAAGGCTCCTTGCTTAGCTATTTCCCTCATGTCGCGTGTTACCTAATTACAGTGGAAAGTCAGGACTGCCGGCTCTGGGTGCTGAGTGCCGCAGAGGCCAGGGGACGCATTTGTGTGGTATTGAAGTCTGCTGTTTCAGCAGACGCTCTTGGGACAGCAAGCTCAGCACAGCTGGCTTTAGATGCCTCCTTTCCCCATTCACCAGATGACTTCTCCCGGGGGCGTGCACATCTGATTGTTCCAGTTGATTCATTGACACAGGAGGCCACAGCCCCGGCCGGGAGAGCACTGCTGGGTGTGCATTGGAGTGTGTGCGTGTGTTGTTGCACGCACATACCATCCGCGCTATGTAGAAGCATTCCACCTACTCACTGCTGGACTTGGTGCAGGAACCCACAAAGCATTTTTAAACAAAACCAGAATAATGACCTTGAAGGCACCGAGAAGCCAGAGCATGTCCTTTCTGGTTGTCATTTTTCTCCTTCCAATAGTCTGCATTGCCGGATTATGATGTCCACGTGTGAAAAAAAGCATCTTGAGGCCAAATAACATTTCCTTTTTTTCCCTTTTTTTTTTTTTTTTTTTAATTCTGCAACCTTGGCCAAGCACATTGCATGTTTCCAAACAAAAATAGACATACGCTTTGGTGTCGGCTTGGTGCGCCGAAAGCGAGCCGAGTCCAGGAAAAGCATTTCCCTGCAGAATAGGGGTGTGGGCACTGTACCTCTATGGAGCTCATGGGGGGCAATCAGGAGGAGGGAGGGGGTGCCCCGTGTATGGCTGAGGTCCACCTCAGTTAGAAATTGATGTCAGCAAAGAGGAGTGGTTTAGCTTTGGGGGAGCAGGGAAAGAGGCTCATTTTTAATTAATCCCCCCTTACCATTCTTTCTCCTTTACCTTCTGCCAACTCCTTCCCTCCCCAACTCTTGTGCCTGTAAGGCCGGTGTCAGCCCCCTGGATACCCTGCGTACGTTAGTGAAAAGGCCCCTCTGAATGGGGCAGCATGTGGCTTGGCAGTTGATGGTGTCTTGGGTGGAAAACCGGCGCCTCTTGCTCTGGTGGCCACAGTCCCTCCCAGGGCACAGGGTGCGTGGGCAGAGTCCGGCTGGGAGAGCCTCCGTCCACCCAGTCAGGGGGCGTCACTGGGCAGCACATGCCTGGCCAACCCACACTCTTTGTGAATGCACAGCAGGAGCAACACTGAGCCTCCTGGGGCATGTGACCCACCAGCCACTCTGTGCCATCAGCCACTCATCCATTTGATGGCATATAGAGGAGTCAGATGCCGCAATGCTTCCAGCCCTCGCTCAGGTTCTGTCCCAAGCCCCGGGGTTGGGGGGGCGGGCAGTGCAGGTCCATGAACTCCTCTTTTGTGGAGATAAGCCCTGGGGGCATCTGAGTCAGTAAGGGATGCCCGTCCTGGGTGCAGAGATAGCAGACGCTAACAGGAAGCGTGGAGAGCTGCCGTGGGGCAGCAGCAGCCTGCAGACAGGCGGCCAGTACATGCCTCAGCTGTGCCCAGCCTGGCCAGAGGCCCTCCTGTTGTCCACACACACCTTTCTGCCAGAATAACCTTTCTTCCCTAGAAGACTCCCATCTGCCCTCCAGAGGCTGGCAGCCTCCTGTCCCTCGCTCACCCCATTCCCCTGTGTCTGTCTTCCTCTCAGTTGGCTGGATTCGGTTCTTCTCAGGGAGGGGCCTAAAGACCCCAATCAGGTATGTGTGCAAATGAGTGAGTTAGTCCTTAGGGGGCATCCTCAGTGATGATTTCTAAGCCCTCAGTCTTCCAGGGTCTTCTCCCTCCCTCTGGGCCCCCGTTTCATTTTCTCCCAAGGGTTCCTGAAACATCTTTCCGAATATTCTGGCCAGCTCTCCCTGGCTTGCTTTCTGTGAGCCCAGCTGCTCCTCTGCTTCCTGCTCACACCCTGAGAGCATTGGCCCTCCAAGAGCTGGGGCTGGGATGCGGGGAAGAAGGTGCCCAGGGTGCAGAACTTAAGGAGACACTCCCTCCCTCCCTCTCTGGGCGCACAGGTGCAGGGTCAGCTCTGGATAGGGGGATCCTCCTTCAGCTCTGCACACTGGGCGCCTTGCCAGCCTCACCTCATCCCAGCTCTCGGTGTTGAAGTTCGACAGTGTCCCAGCACCAGGTGCCAACCCAACTTACCTTTTCCCTCTGAGCCTGGATTTCCCTCTGCTACCACCATCCTGGGTAATTAGGATTAAATTAGGTAATGTGTGTACACTCAGCACGTTGCCTGACACCTCTTAAATGCTTAGGAGATCTGCATGGTGGCTATTATTATTATTAATTACTTTTAGGTGAATCTAAAAGCGGTATACACAAGCCCATCTACCACATGAGCTCTGGAATGACAGCTTCAGCCCCAGGGCCACCTCATCATCCCAGTTTGCCCTTCCTCTCTCGATCATGCGTGCTGTTGACTGTATGGACTTGCCCCGCGAGGTCAGGGCCTCCCACGTTCTGAAGAGGATGTGTTTTGTGTCTCTGCTGCAGGAATTGCTTACTTAGGAGGTGTGTGCAGTGCTAAGAGGAAATGTGTGCTTGCCGAAGACAATGGTCTCAATTTGGCCTTTACCATCGCTCATGAGCTGGGCCACAAGTAAGTATCAGACTCTATTGTTCTGCCTCTTCCAATTCCTTTCTGAATATATGTATTTTTTTCACTTGAATTCTGTACATTCTAAAACAGTACTGCTCTAAGCCTTTGCTTCTTTCGTAACACAGACCTAGGTCAGCAAGCCTGGGTCCCAGCCCTTCAGGGAGCCCCAGTGACTACTGAACAGATGGTCTCTGAGAGTTGAAATGTTAATTTCATGTTCATGTCTATTCTGTAGAGGGAAGAAGTTTTTCTCAGAGTGTGGTCTTCAGTTGCATTTCCTTTCTTGGACCAGCACGATCTTTGAGTCACTCTAAGTGTATCATTCAAGTAGTGGGATTTACCTTCACAGATGAAGTCCAGCTGTCTGAAGGTAGAATGTCAGTGTCTTCAGCTACTGCTTTGTACATGGAAATTCTTCCCTCGAGGAGGGGATAGCCATTGGACCCCAGAGCCCAAAGATGTTGTAGAAAAGATCTATTCAGAGGAGGAAACAGAAGGTCAGAGGGGTTGTGTGGCTGGCTTAAGATTGAGATCACCTGCAGGAAGTCTCAGATGGCAGAAAGCCATCCGACTCCAAAACTGTGGACTGAGAGTTGACTACTTCTTCTGCAATAGGTGTCTGTTTTGTTTTTCTCTGAAGGAAAAATTGTGGTATGACTACATGAGAACTTAAAAAATAAATAAGTAAATCAAGGAAGTTGGAGCATGAAGAACAATTGGAAATTTTATACTGGGTTGACTCAAAGTTAAATGGAAATCTAGTTCTTGAGGGGGGATGTACTGTAAATGTTTCCTAATGATCTATGGGCTTAGCTGCCTGGGACCCTAAATGTGAACTCAAGCTTCTGCTGGAGTAGAATTAGTCTATTAGGAGGAGCACAAAAGCAATTTCCTCTAGGATTAGCCATAAGTATAGCTTGATATATATAGATAGATAGATATAGATGTGTATTTCTTCTTCCTCTTCCTTTTTTTTTTTTTTTTGCTTTGTTTTGTTTATATGGTCCCATTCTCCTGTTTTCCACTCCTGTAAATGGGTTTGGCAGTTGACTTTTCTATACCTATTGAGTACCATGATGTGAGTACAATAAGTGATAATAATCCTATGTGTACTTCCTGGGATTAAGGCAGAAATAACATGTCACTGGCCAAAAGATGCCAAATAAACACTTACCACTAAGTACACACATATTTCATCTCAACGGTATTTTTCAAACACTGTTGACAGCATGTTGCCCGTACCTTTTTTACCTATGCTACTGGGAAATAATTTTTAAAACTAATGGTAATCAAATATGTATTCATATTTCTGATTTGTGGGGGAAAAAAACAACAACTGTAGCCAAGAGTGGTTGCTGACAGAAAAGTATAAATCAGTACAACTTTGGCAAATGCCATCCCACTATCCAGTGACCCACCCAGCCTGTCATAGTTCCAAGGAACCAACTACCTAATGGTTTTGAGAATGCAGTTGACAAAACGTTTCCCAACATGGGGGTTGTCATGGACTTTTGAATAGATTTCTGTGAACTGCATTTGGATCCAGAGCACATGCTAGAGTGCTTTTTGCACTGGCATGTGAACATGCACGTGCTGCACAGAGGCCTTTCTCCTTGGTCAGTAAGAACACAGAGGACCATTTTCTCCCTGATGGCCTGTGCGATCATGCCGGGTCACTGGTGTCTTAGCACAGGTCTGCAGAAATGAATGGTTAGATTTAGTCATACTCCAGTAGCCTTTAGGTACAGTCTGCTTAAATTTCTTGGAGGGCTCTTAATAGCTTGTTATTGAACTCTAATTACCTACAAAAACAAACACCTTATTGTTAATCAAAGCCAATAAATTCTGCTAGCATTTGGCCCTGCCCCTAGTCGGGTGATTATGGTTTTCCCAGAGAAAGTCTGTTGTCTCTGATTATTCACAAGCAATGCGAAGCAGGTCCCCCTGGGAATGAGGCCACATTGTCTCCATCTGCAGACCCTTCTGGTCATCCGGACTCAGAGCTGCAGCCAAGGCTGTGTGGAGGCTAAACAAGAGGGCTCAGCCTGCACTCTCCGTGAAACCACTGGCCAGGCAGCCTCACAGATATGAAACCTGGAAGCTGTTGCATATTTTGGAATACAGTGGCGTAATTTAACTCCGTGTTCCTTGAGTATGGGTGAACTAAGGAAAGGATGGTGTTCTCACTGGACCTGAGCGAACTGGTCCATGTTCTTCAAGAAAATTTCTCAGTGAAAGCTTTAGAAAGTGAGAGTACCCTTCTGCATATCCCTAGAAAGTCCCCAGGGGACTCTCACCCACTGGCCCCTAACCATTTAATACTGATAAAGTGAAACTTGTCTTCTGAAGGAGGGGTGTGTGCCTTTGTACATGGGCACACATAAGCATGGCCCTTCTGTTGTTTACCCAATATACCTCATATGATGATCTGTGCAAGCAGTTACCCCAGTTCTGAATGTTAGGAGGATATACCTTCCATATGAGCTACATGTTGCATTTATCAGACAACAAGAGTTGCATATGTGAACCTGATTTTCTTTCTGCTTTGGCTGTCAGAAAATGCAAAGCAAATGTCAGGCTCATTTTCAGAGTTATTTTCATCCGAGTCCCAAAATTGTGGTTTTCTCCCCCTTTTTGTGTCTCTTTGTACAAATGGTTATATTTTATATATTGTAGTTCAGAAATAATTTGTTGGTACTATAAACTGGCTCCAATCCAATCTATAATCAGATAGGTTCTAAATTACAAATTAAATGAAAAATTCTTGCCATAGTAATATCAATAATTCTGCTTAGGACAGGAATTAATAATGTATTAGTGATGGTTAAGTCAAATCCAGTCTCATATATGGAGCACCTGTGTTGGATACTGTGCATTCATTATGCTATTGATCAGTTCTGTGGGGTAGGTATTATTTAGCTTTTATAGATTAGAAAACTAGTATTACTTTTAAAAGTTTCTAGTCTCTACTTGAAATGGTTGAGGATCCCCTTTATGGTAATATGCCCCTACATCAGGGCTACTAAAGTAAGGGTCCATGTTCTAAGAGAAGGGTAAATAGGAGACAACTTGTTACATCTCCACAAAACCAAGGCACCTTCAGATTGCTGCCAAACAAGGCAGAAGGGACAGTCAATTGGCAGAAGAAAGCCAATGTGTCAGCAAGAAGGGCTTCCCTACAAATCTCAAGTACTGTAGCTGCGACCAACAGCTTTCTGGTTATTACCTGGTAAAGAAGTGGGGTGGAAAGACTCTAGGCCTGGGTTTAGATCAGGACCGAAGGATTTGTAATTTCTGGTGGGAGGTCGAGAATGAGAACCTGGGAGGGGCTTCTCTGTGCTTCCACCAGGAACATGGGCTGGCTCCTCTCAAAGCAGTGATGACCATGACTTTGAGGTTTTCTAGCCCTCATGACCATAGTTGCCTTCTTGCCCATGAAAGACTGCCTGGTAGGCAGCTGTATGTTTACCTAGTGAATGGAAAAGTGGTAGCGTGCATCCGGGAAGGCATCTGTCTCCCTATCTTGCCTGTCATTGCCATATCTTGATTACTTGAGAACCCAGCTGAAAAGGAGGGCCTACTTCATTCTGCAGTGGCCAGGAGAGGGGAGTAGCTCCTGAGTGCTAGAAGATGGCTGTGATGGACCTCTCTTACTCCAGAGAGCTGTAGCTGACACCTGGTATTGGTTACCACTGAAATTGATGAAGTGGGAGTGGGGTGGTATGCCTTGAGAGAGACAGTCCAGCTGGGCCAGTGTTTCCCACATGGTTTCCCCCATGATAGGGTACCTTATGGTAGACCTCAGTGTCCAAGACATTTATTAATATTTGGTGTTCAAGTGGAAGAGAGACAGCTAGAAGCAAGCGTTTGTTTCTCTTTGGGCAAGCTCATGTTTTTGAGGCTCAAACCTGATCAGCCATGGGAAGGACTCTCCACTACCCAGGATTAGAAGCTCAGGTCCATGCCAATGGCCTATGAGAAAAGCAAAATCAAAATCAAGGGACACCCTCACAGATCAAGGAGGAAGTTGGTAGTGGCTTTACTATAATATTAAGTAGGTATAATACATCAGATGATATTGGGCATGCTCAGGTGGTATAGACCTGGGTATATCTACTGGAATTTTAGACTATATTGTTTTTTGTGATTTCGAAGTTTTAGTGTAGAAGGGAAAAGCAAGCGGTCCTATGACAGCTGGTTAGAATGCCTTTTGTTTGAAGGAAAATGGTGTGATTAGGCCCAGGGGAGGCACTTAACGGGCAAGAGCCCTCCCTAGCACTGCTGGAGGCCAGGAGGGCACAGAGCTGAGTCTCACTGGACATTTGGGGCCTGAGGAGACCCAGAAAGCCATGCACGCAGCTCCTCAATCAGGTAAGACAGAGAGCTCTCAGGGAGTGTCTAAACACAGGCCCTTCTAGGTGGGGAGTGGAGGGAGGGGAGGGGAACCACAGAGTGCACACTGGGCCACCCACACACAGGGGAAAAAAAACAACAGGACATATCTTTAGATGTAGAAACAAAGAGCTTTCTCTTGCAGAAAACAAAACTCGGCTTCTGGTGGATTTAGGAGGCTCTGTTAGATAAGCCTGAGCCAGATCAGTTCCTGCCTTGAGTCATTCCAAACTACGTGACCCCTCCAAGCCAGGTAAATCTACAGAAAGCTCTCCAGATGGACCCCGAAGCCATACCCCATATTTGGGCTTTTGCTGCCTGTTCTCCGGGTGGGCGTTCTCCCCACCTGCTCTTCTGGGGATTTTTGTCCGACTTCCATATTGCCTTTCTCAGCTCTTTCCGTTCTGGAATTTACCTCACCTCTGGTTGGCCAGCTCAGGTTGTGGCCTCTGCAAAATGTCTGCAGGGCGGCGTGGGGACCTGGTACAGTGACAGCTGGGCCTTGCTGCCCAAGGCGGCGGGGTGGGGGTGGGGGGAGCAGCTTCTGAAGCGTTTATAAGTGCCAGGAGCCTGGGCTGCACCTGAGGTCAATTAGAACACTCCCTCTG